TACAAACCACATTATAGAGTAAGAGGCTTTCCAGACCAAGTCTAATTTAGTTCTCTAAAATTTATGGTATACTTAGAGAAGATACAGGTAAATAAAAATATGCCAAAAAGCTCTACTTAAGTAAATGCTGCGCAGTTCTTGCCTTTTGGTGGAACAGTGGTCCTCCCTGATCTCTAGTCAGTAGGAATATGTGAAAAATTTCCACAAATGTATATAGCAGAATTCTTTTCAGGAGTAAAAGGGCAGAACAGTTATTACAAAAATAGTCCTATTCAGAAGCTACTTCATGTTATTTGTAGATCAGAGAAGTATATACTTATAGTTAATGACCCAATTCACACTCAAGCAAAAACCCACCACACTCCAGTGAAAAGCAGCTACTATGTACTTACTATCATTGTACTGCAGAGAATGGAAAGTGTTTCAAGGGATTTTTAAAAAAATTCTGGTAGAATGATTTTTTTAATTCAACATTATGACATCTTTTACAAAATAAAATTGGTCAATGAAAGTCCCTTGAAAGATAATAATGTTTAAAGAAGGATAGTAATTATCACCCTTTACTATCCAGCTATTAACTCTCCCCATTTCACTGATTAGCAACAGTATTACTCCTTGTTTAGGAAGGATCTCAAATTCATATGATGGCAGGCCAGACAAGGATCATTTGCAAGTAGGGGGACTATAATCTACGCATAAGAACTTCCTGCAGCTGCTACCAGATCCATCTCTCCATCCTGTTATTGCTGTGAGAAATGCAGGACTGGTGCAACAAGATCTTCCAATGTTTCCTAAGAGAAGTCAGAAATCCAAATCATGCAAAATCTTCCATTTTTAAATATTGGCAATTAAAAAATAAAATACCGTGAGGCTGAATTAAAAGTTCCTACAAAAAGAATTTGGCCTTTCAGCATGTAACCACTGCTAAAATACAGCAGTAATAGTCTAGGAAAAGAAGCCAGTAAGAATCTCAAGTATTTAACTTTCAAATTCTAAACTCCCCAGATTATTACTTAGATTTCACGTTGAAGATGGATTCTCCATGTAGTCAAAAATCTTAGTGGTAATCTTTCTCTCCTGAAGACTAATTTTGGGGTTAATTAAAAAAAAATACTTGGCACCCCCCCCAAATACTAGTACTTTAATTAACTATTTTATTCTTTTTTTTAAGATTTTATTATTTGACAGAGAGAGAAAGAGATGGAGAACAAGCAGGTGAAGCTGTAGGCAGAGGGAGAGGGAAAAGCAGACTCCCCATTGAGCAGGAAACCTAATGCAGGGCTGGATCCCAGGGTCCTGGGATCATAACCTGAGCCTAAGGCAGACATTTAATGGACTGAGCTACTCATTAAAGGTGCCCCTTTAATTTACTGTTTTAAGGCATACATTTTAGGAAAAATATTCAAAACAACATTTGACGGAGATGAACTTAGAATTAATATTAGTAAAACTAGAATATGTAAAAAACGTATACATATTATAACTCATTTTTTGAAAATATTATGTTTTATAAACTGTGTTAATTAGGTAAAATGAAGTGTTAATATTGGCAATCCTTAGAAAGCAACCACGTGAACTTTAAATCTCTAGATTGAGACATCAGGAACTGGCATTCCTGACAAGCCACCTTCACTTTAGCAACATGAAATGGAAAAACAAATAAAGGGTGGGGAGAAGTGACAACAATGTTAATTGGCAAGGTATTTCTGTTATATAATAATTAAAGAGCCAAAGGATCCTAAGACTCAATACAATTTTCTTTACTGCTTTAGCTCTAAGTAGATTAGATGGCTAAAAAGGATAAACTAGCAGACCTTCTATTTGGAAACAAAATCTGCTGGATTAAAAAAGAAATACAATGTGGGGCAGCACCCAAAGACTTCACCTTTAAAGGAGCCACTCTCAAAATTTTCAATTTAAGAAAAAAAAAAATCTTTAGTTAACACTTTTCTCAGAGTTCTCAGTTGATTTTTGTAACGATATCACCATATATATGTCATATTGATAGCATACTTCAACAAAAAAACCAAAACTTTAAGAATAAGGTGACAGAGTTGAAGAAAAAAAGGCAGTTCTGGCTTTATCAGGGCTGGATTTCACTAAATAACAGTTGTGTGGGGATCCCTGGGTGGCTCAGCGGTTTAGCGCCTGCCTTTGGACCAGAGCGCGATCCTGGAGTCCCGGGATCCAGTCCCACATCGGGCTCCCGGCATGGAGCCTGCTTCTCCCTCCTCCTGTGTCTCTGCCCCTCTCTCTCTCTCTCTCTCTCTCTCTCTCTCTATCATAAATAAATAAATACATCTTAAAAAAAAAAGTTGTGTGACTTTTTTTTAATTTTTTTTAATTTTTATTTATTTATGATAGTCACAGAGAGAGAGAGAGGCAGAGACATAGGCAGAGGGAGAAGCAGGCTCCATGCACCGGGAGCCCGATGTGGGATTCAATCCCGGGTCTCCAGGATCGCACCCTGGACCAAAGGCAGGCGCCAAACCACTGCGCCACCCAGGGATCCCTTGTTGTGTGACTTTAAGCAAGTTTTTTAACTACTACTCCCTCATCGATATAAAAGGGTAAAACACTAGGTGCTCTAATTCTCACTGAGAATCGTGATACATCTTAAATATATTTTACTTCATTCTTTTCACTGAAATCTGAATCTGCTCAACATCAGTAGTTTAAAATATTCTGGCATGAGAGCTACATAGACAAGAGAACTCAACTTCTGGAGCTGCCTGTTTCATCCTCACATTTCTATTATTTCTTTTACAAAACTACAATCAGCTGCCTACTTACTTCAACTCTCCATCAATCATGTTCTAGCTAAATCATATTAAGTATTGCTAATTCAGTTCTCATTAAACTTTAAGATCTACAATGTTTGAGGCTGTTCAGTATTGAAGCAACAACACTCAAACAATGATAAGCATATAGCCCATGTACAACAAACATTTGCAGACTGATAAGTTCTGTTAGTATTTACTGAATGACCACTGAAATGCCTTCTAATATAAAGAGTATAAATAAAAATGTGTACATTTCTGGAGGCAATCACTTAATGTGTAAAGTTTAAAATTTGAATTATCATACATAATCAAACACGTGCTTCGTTTAAAAAAAATCCCTTTGGATATAGTGAATGAGAGCAATTTTGCTGTACTTTAAACAGTGATGCTATTCAATGATACGGATGATAAAGGTCCTTCAAAGCAATAAAAGCTACTAATGCCGCCATTACTGCTATTCATAATTTCCTTCAGATTTAACTGAATTCCAAGTCTACATTAAAAAACAAAAAACTGTCAAAATGATATCCAACCTCATTGCCACTAGCTATTCTGCAAGCAACCCCCAAATAATAACTTAGTCAAATTTTATTATCTGAAAGTTACTCCGAAAACATCAGAATTGAAGTTGAGATAGAATACCAAAATCTGTAACTTTTTCTCATTACTTTCTTAGTAACACGCTGCTATAAATAAACATGTCATTGGTTAAACACTAGAATTTAGTCACTTTCATTCCAAAATTTAAAGAGTAGATTTCATAAAGTATGTTCTACTTCACAGAATAGGAAATCAAACACAGTGAACAACAAACGGTTCACCACCCTCTGCAAATCTATGGAAACATACCCATTATGAAGCAAATTTCTCCTGCCACCCAACAGTTTAAAGCTGTCACTCTATGCTATTCCCTTAAATAAAACATAATTAGTAAGGCATATCTGCCACATACACAAGTCAATAATCCAACAACACCCAAACAAAATATCTCTGGATTACCTGGATTACTGGTTCGCTGGACACTTTGGTAGAAAATTAGTGATCTAAAAATATGCAACTCAAAGGCACTGGTAAGGCAAATACCAGACTGACACCGTTTTATAAGGAAGGACAAAATCCGAGAGTCAAACATTTTAATGAACAGAAATTTAGAGGACAGAAAGTGACATTAAACAAATCAGCTGATTATAGCCATGTGTGACCCTTTCCACTCCAACAAGTCAGGCCTAAGTAGATGAAGCCCCCCATCCCTACAAAACTTCCTTTCGCCTTCCATTTCTTCTATGGCATTAGAAAACAAAAAAACCCTCGTCCATTAATCAAAAAAAAAAAAAAAAAAGTCCACTACACAAAATTAAGCCACCACATACAGGAGAGCTTTGAAAGGTTAAAATCACTCCCTATCATTAAAATCCCATCTGCAGGATGATCTCAGGTATTGCGTGAGCAACTTAGAGCCATAGCTGACACAGGAGGAGCAAAGTCTAGGTCTGGGCTACAGAACCTACCCCAAAGGAAGACGTGACCTTAACACAAAATCTACGGAGAACTACAGTATGTATAGGCTCCCAACGGGCTTCCAATGTGCCGTGGGAGTGTATTTATTCCTCTACAACACACATTACACTTCTGCCCTTAAAGTTGCCAAAGCGCCATCGCAAAAGTGGCCGGCAGTTGCAAAACAGACCAGCCTCCGGCTGTCGGCACGCTTCTTTGGCACGCTTCTTTCTCGTGCCTTGTGCTTCCTATCCAGGAACAATTTCTCAACGTGGTCAAGGTGATGCTGCAAAACTGCCCTGGATGCAGCAAGCGCGTAGGGGAACAGTTGCTCACCGGTCCCCGAAGCCTACACCTGGGGGATCAGGGAAGGGTGACCGACTGCCCTGCCATTTTCAACATGCTGCTCCTAGCCACGATGGCAGCACCTTGCGTGCCCACCAACACGCGAGGAGGCTTCTGGCTCACGCCGATGCCCTCTGGAAGCAGAGGCGAGTGTGCACTTCCTGCCTTCCTCCAGGGTGCTGTCCAGCCAAGGGTTGGGGAGGGAGATCCCTGGAAAAGCAGGGGCTGGGAAGGAGCCTCTGCCCTTCCCCTTCCACGCAGGCAGCAGCAGCATCCCGCCCAGGCCCGGATTCCCCGCAGCTTAGGCCCCCGCGCCTGCGGGGGGATCTTCCCCCCACACACCCCCACCTCCCTCCTTCCCTCCCTCCCTCTCACCTGATCTTGTAACTCGGGAGAGTGTGCTTGCGCTTGATGATTTTCTTGAGCTGGTTGACGATGATGGAGGTGAGCTGGGGCATAGGCCGCCCTTCGAACTGGGAGCGCACCTCGAAGTCGATCAGCGGGTCCTCCACGAAGGAGAAGAACCAGTGGGTGAAGGGCACGCGAGTGAAGACGAAGCGCAGCCTGCCCACCACCCGGGACAGCTTGACGAACAGGTAGGCGGACTTGCCGAAGACCAAGTCCACGTCGATGGCCAGGTGGAAGCCCCCGCTGTACTCCACCTCCGCCTCGAAGGCCAGCTCCTCGGGGGAGGTGGCGGGCAGCGTCTCCCCCTCGGGGCCGTCCGACTCCCCGCCGGCCGAGGGCGCCACGGGCCGGAGGAGCCGTATGGTCTTGATGAAGGGCACGGTCTCGCCCAGGAACACGTCCCGCAGGCTCAGCCCCTCCAGCAGGCGCCCGGCCGTCTTGGTCTGCAGCAGCTCCTCGAACTCCACCTTGATCTTCTTGGTGACCCAGCGGCGGGCCAGCGCGGTGTCCCGCAGCTCCCGGAACAGGAACAGGATGGTGGCGTTGAGGAAGTAGCAGGTCTCCCGCGTCGGCGGGGCGGGGGTCTCGGGGCCCGGGGCCGGGGCCGGGGCCGGGGCTTGGGCCGGGGCCGCGCCGCCGTCGGGGGGCCCGCCGGAGGGCTCCTCAGCCCCGCCGCCGCCGCCGCCGCCGCCGCCGCCGCCGCCGCCGCCGCCATAAAGGTACTCCCTCAGGGCCAGGCCCGGCACCGGCTTGATGTAGCGGAAGCCGTCGCCCGCGCGGGCCGCCTCGTCCGGCGGCGGCTCGGGCTGCCTGCGGTACAGCAGCAGGAACTGGGTGAGGAGCGTGAGGAAGGAGCCCAGCACGGCCGACGCCAGAATCATGAGCAGCAGCCCCATCCCCGCGCCGCCTCCGCCCGGGCCGCCCCGGCCGCGGCTCCCGCGCCCACAGCGCCGCGCTCTTCACGTCGCCGCCCCCGCTGCCTCCATCTTGAGGACATCGGGCGGCGGGGTCGGGGCGAGCGGCTCCCTGGGCCTCGTCCGGCGGCTCCGGCAGGCGCGGTGCGGCGGCGCCCGAGCCTGCGGCGGCCCGCGCGGCTCCTCAGACGCTCCCGGAGGCGGCGGCTGTGGCGGCGGCGGCGGCCGCGGCGGCGGCGGCGGCGCGGAGGGGGCGGGGCGGCACTCCCTCCGGCCCGCGGTCATTGGACGAGCGGCGTGTGACGTCAGGGGCGTGCTCGCTCCCGACGGCGTCGCCTGGCAGCCGGCGCCCGGGCGCGCGCACGCGGGTCCCTGTTCACCTCCCGGGCGCCCTTCCAGCCCCGCCCCCCTCGCCAACATCCCATTCCCGCGTGGTCCACGTGGCTGTCACTTCTGGAGCCGCGGGCGCGATCCGGGGAGATAACTGGGGCCACCGGTGCAGCATAAGCAGGCCGGGCGGAGGTGGCGTGGCGCGTTCTTGATCCCGGTCCTCCCGTTACCCTCTGAAGCGCCCAGCCCCCCCCCTCCCCCTTTGGCCGCGGTCCCTGCCTGTTACCTCTGCTGCAGTGTGCTGCTTCCACTTGCGCCCCTGACACCCGGGCTGGCGCGGCTTTCCCTGCGGGGGCAGCGCCGCAGAGGATCCGAGCTGGCCGTTCCGAGACTTCCCAAGCCCGGGAACAAGACAGGGCTGAACTGCCTCAGTCACCGCCGTCGCTGACCGTCAATCCAACCAGCAGACGCTCTGCGTCTGCGAAGGGTGGGCCTGGGAGGGAGGGACGGAGAGAAACGCGGAAGATGCAAACGAACTTTACCACCAAGGTGAAGATTCGGGATTTAAATGAGAAGGACGTAGAAGAGCCAGGATGAGCCGGATGATGATGATGATGGTGATGATGATGGTGATGATGAATTTGCAAGAGGATCAGATGATGAAGAGTGGCTCACTGTCAAGCTCTTGTCGTGTGTTAAGCTCCGCGTGTGTTACCACATTTAGCCCATGGGAGAAGTTATTGTTAGCTCCCACCCATTTCACAGGTGTAAACGCTGGCGCAGAGAGGCAAAGGAACTTGGCCTAGGGTCACGCAGGGAGGCTGGTTTGGCTAAAACTAACTCTGGAGCCCTTGGTCACTGATCTGTACCATGATAACCAAATTGCTAGGGTTGGAAGGGGGTTTACGGGTTCCCTCCCTGCTGCACAGAAAGGGGGAGTTGGGGAGGAGGGTCAGGAAGGACTTGGAATTTTGCACAGGGTAGCACCTTGACCGAAGCCCTGGAGTTTTAAGGAAGCCAGGTTGCCCAGAACAGTGTTACTCATCATGTCCTCTGGCTACTCGGTTGTTACATCATAAATGCTTATGTGGCTCCTGCCACATTGACACCACACCAGTTCTACCCCTAGTCCTACAGGGGTCAGATATCCCATACTATAAAGTCAGGACGGCTCTGGATGGCCCTAGGGGTCAGGGCATGGCCCCTCTCTCTAGCCCTGGAAGATCTTCAAGCTAGTGATTGTCTCGAATCTGGGTGATGCTAAAACAAAAAACCAGAGTTCCGCTTCATTTTGACCCAGCTGGAGCAAGTACAGAGCTTTGGAACCAGGCCTGTCTTAACTTACTCAAGTCCAGGTGTGAGACCAGAATGGCTCCTGTAAGATAGGTGCTTGCTGAGGAGCCAGACTTAAACCCCATATTCCACATATATGGAAGCCCAAAGTCCTGTCAGGATTTCTGAGAACTCTGGCAACTTCTTTTCTCGTGGTCACCTTGGGCTCCTGGCCTCTGCTTCAGGACTACTGTCTCAGACCTACATAGTTTCGATCCAAATGGGAAGTGTAGGCTCTTCCTCAGTTTCAGCCGGAAACCTGATCCATAACTCATGCGCCACTGTAAGAAATGTCCGAGAAGCTGGAAGTGGGGATGGATGAAAGTAGTGGTTCTTATCTATTACTGAGATCCAAAATCCTCAAATTGTACATTGACCCGTCCAGCATCTTAAAGTATTCCTTAGCCACCTCCACAAGGAAAGTTGGTGATCTTCCTGGGAGTGAGTCCACAGTGTGGCACTCCATCTCACAGGCTCCTCTCTCCTCTCCTCTCCTCCTTCTTCCTGCCTCACTCCTCAGATTGCCTCTGGGAATCCTGAATCTTCTCAATCCATTATACAGATTTACTCCCTTCCCCAGCAAAACTTGTCACTCCAAATCCATGAAGGAGCTCAGCACACCTTTTGGGAAGATTAAAAAAAAAATTTCCCTGGTGTTAAAAATGGCTGACATTTATTATACACATATGATTTTAGTAATTACAGTATTATTGTAAATAACAGCATTTATAGAGAATTGACTATATACCAGGCACAGTGTTAAAAATCTTATGTGCCTATTCCCTTTAAAACTATCAAAATGTCTGGGATGCCTAGGTGACTCAGTTGTTAAGCGTCCAGTTCTTGATTTCTGCTCAGGTCATATCTCAGCATCCTGAGATCAGGGGTCTCTGGACTGGGTGTGGTACCTGCTTAAGCATCTCCCTCTCCCTCTGCGTCTGACCCTCCCCCCACCGTGTATGCTCACTCTCATGCTCTCTCTTTCTTAAAAAAAAAAAAAATCAAAATGCTTATAAGTGTTGGCCCCATTCAGGCCTCAGGTAATGAGTCCAGCCCCTGACTGGCTGACCTCATCACAACCCACCTGGCCAACCCATTCCATATTGCTACTTGCAAACATTCACCAACTTGGGACCTTTGTTTCTTTTGCCTTTTACTATGTCATTCAGCCAACCCAAGTTTTCTTAACCTCTGCACTATTGCCATTTGGAGCGAGACGGTTCTCTGTTATAGGGGCTGTCCTGTGCCTTGCAGGAGGTGATGTTATGTTTATAGAAGCTTATTATTCTTCCATTCCCTGGAAGAATATAAATTCAGCGACCTTTTTTTAAAAAAAAAAATCAATCCTAGTTCATAGAAACTCAAAAGTCTAAAAACCTTTGGCCCCAGCTCTGAAAATCTATGATTCTAAGTAGGTTTTCGAAGGAAGAAGTTGCATTTAGCCTGCCTGCTGACTTTTTAATGAGTTTTAAATGACATCATTGAAATTAAGCTGCCCCAACACCCTTCATGGGAAGTATCTATTTCATGGGTAAAGGCGGTTGAATAATGCAAGATGGGATGCTTATAAAGACTAGCATCCTCACCAACTAGAGACAGGCATGGACCACTTTTGCTGTTAAAGTCTAAATCGTTTCTCCCGACCACTACCTAGGACGAGAAAGCCAAAGCATGTGAATATAGAGAGTTTGTGAGTAGCATGAAAACCAATTTGATAAAAATGATATAAAATGACACAAATGTCACGAAATATGGGGCAAAGCCCAGAGTAATTTAGAATGATAACAAATCTAACAAATGATACATCACACCATTTTGTGAACTGTGAGAATTCAAATTCAATGAGTATTTTTCAGCATCCAGCGTGTGCCAGGCTCGGGGATGTGGAATGAATAGGACAGAGTCCCTGCCCTCCAGGGCTGCCAAGGTGTGGCAGACACACACCTACATAACTGATGTTAAGAGATAGCACCCAGTGTACTGTTAGAACAGAGTCTTGCTGGTTCAGGGATAGGGACAGTACATGGCAAGGAACACAAACTGCTTCAAGCTCACTTAACTGAAGTTGGATTCATGTTAAAGATACTGGGGTCTTTCCAGGAACTCAGCTGCAAGATATTCAGCTGGGGCTTTCAGAAACCTAGGACTGAGAGGGCTGTTGCTCTCGCTTGTTTCCTCTGGCCCCATCCTGACCTAGTATCTTGTTGCTACACCTCTTTGCAAGTCTGTGCCATTTTTTCTGCCTAAGGTTCCTATTGCCTCATGGCCTCAGCAAATAGACAGCTTTAGAAGGCACCAGCTCTGCACCAAAATCTAGAGGGTCCTGTGTTCTTGGTGCCTAATGGGACCTGCTATTTCAATCTCAAGTGCTGGGAGAGAATCCCAGGGAGGGCTCTACTAATCCAATCATTTACGCCCAAGGAACTTGTCTCTTCTGGTTGCTGGTGTATGGAGCAACTTTGCCAAGGATGGGGAGAGAGTTGAGAAAGAGCATAAGTGGGCAATTCTAGTCCCATAGTGGACAAAGAGTTAATTCTGGCTGAGGAAGTTGAGGAACTTCTTGGGGTGAATGGAATTTCTGTTGGCCTTTGATGACTAGAGAGACATTTTAATCAGAAGGAGGCCAAAGTCCAGAAGTTGGAAATCCAGCAGTTTAGAGAAATTGTGACCAGGATGAATGGAGGGTGGTATAAATAAATAAATAACTTTGGTGTAGGGAGGAGGGAGGAGAGATGGAGGTAAGATTAGGTAAAGTGGGCTTGAGCTGAATTAGGGAGAGTTTGTCAAGGCAATTTTAGATTCTGTTTTATAGTCTTTGTAAAGTCTCCAGAGATTTTCATGCCAAGGCCATGGTCTTATCTCTTTTCCTTCCATTATCTCTACCTGCAAAACTTTACCCAATTCAACTATTTACTTCCTCCCCTCTGCATCTATACATTCATGCTCTTCGTTCTCATTTGGACCCTCAAAGCAACCAGGCATTTTTCTCCATCACCCTAGCCAGTATCTACTTGATGCCAATATTCATTTTCAGTTGGCTCAGAACTCAGGTAAAGAAGAAGAGGGGGGCAGCTCAGGTGGCTCAGCGGTTTAGTGCTGCCTTTGGCCTAGGGTGTGGTCCTGGAGACCCCGGGATCCAGTCTCATGTCGGGCTTGCTACATGGAGCCTGCTTTCTCCCTCTGCCTGTGTCTGTACCTCTTCTCTCTCTCTGTGTCTCTCATGAATAAATAAATAAAATCTTTAAAAAAGAAGAAGAAGAAGAAGAAGAATGTTGTTGATTGATCTCTAAAAATCTCTACATTATTTTGGACCCCAAGTGATTCAACAATACTGAAATTAATCCTTCCTGTGCTTCCCTTTCTCTGTTTTTGTTTGTTTGGATTTGATTTTTAAGGCTTCTCATCCTCCACTAGCCCA